TGTTATAAATTACATAAGTTCAAAGTATTAATAGTACGATAATGTTATTACATAAAATAAAACCATAGACACTTGCAAATCTTCCTGCTTAACGATTACCTGAGAATACAAGTTATTTTGAAAACGGTCAACATATATAATGTTTGTGAGTTCATAAGTATCTTTCGTGAAAACCCAGAAAATCCGATATTTTCTGCAAAATGTCTGAAAATGATGTGAAAATCAAGTATAGATGCATGTGTGAATTTCATAGTAGTAACATATATGAATGCAGTTTAGATTTCTTTGTATTGTAGGTAAGTGATGATTGAATATTAATATTTCCCCAGAAAATCCGATATTTTCTGATGTATAATAATGTCAAAGTTCTTGTATTGTTAAATAAGTTGTTTTGCATTGACACGATCGAAGGGTTAATCTCTGAAATGTTAAATTGGTATTGGATCTCTATATGAGTCGTTATAACCATGCATGATAATGACTAGGTTGTCTTTCTTGGCATTTTTCCAAATGTCGGTATTTGCTCAAGGTTTTGTCGCCCTAGACTGGCCTAGTCTAGCTCTAGCGAACACCTAAGGCGTGGGGGGTCACCCCGTATAGATCTATACACAAACTCCCGCTCTCCCTCCAGGAAACTCTGGTTATAACTACAGGTTACGATTGTACACTCAAATGTGACAATCGACACGTCTCACTAGATTCTCAACCTTTCGTACTATGTTTAATGTTTACGTGTATGTTGTATGTTATCAAATCCAAAGGTACATATATAAGTATACGAAGTTCAATAATTATGTAAAGGTATAGTTGCGATCTACTAAGCATGTGAATTTCAATCCAAGCCCAATTAGCATGTAAATGGACCACAAAGGCCCAGTAACATGTAAGAGGGTAATTTGGGCCTAATAGGTATGTAAATGGACCATCAATGCCCAACAAACATGTAACCCATAACTCAGGCCCAAATTAACATGTAAATGGGTCGCAATGCCCAATAAACATGTCATGGAAAATATTGGGCTCAATATACACTTGAATGGGCCCTTAAGGCCCATTTGCCATGTAATGTGAATATTAGGCCCAATAAAATTGTTATCGACGTATTTCGTTCATTCGTTATTGTTTCGTTGTTTGTTTTAGCTCAAAGTTTGCCAAATTGATTATAAAAACTCCTCTTTTTGTAAAAATGACGTTCTTGGCCAATAAGCCTCAAATTTTCAATTAAAGCCCAAAGTTTTGTAAAAATAACACTTTAGTCCATAACTTATAAAAATTTGTAATTTCGTCCCAAATGTTTAGAAATTCACGGTTTTGGTCCAAAAATTTATATTTTGACATTGATGGCCCAGTTTTGCAGAAAAGTGCGTTTTCAGCCCCTTTTTTGTAAAATTTGACACTTTCGGCCCAATTTTGATAAAAGTTACATTTTTGGTCCAATTTAGAAATAAATGTTATTTTCACCCCTAAATTTGGTTTATTTACATTTATGACTCAAACTTTGGTCAAATAACATTTATAATCCCAAAACTCTCATTTTTTCGCAAATTTGGGCCCAAAACCGTGAGGCCCAAATGTTTGGCCCATTTAGCTAAAATTTACATTTTTGCCCCTTTGGAAAGCATGTTTATCATAAAAATCCATTTTTATAAGAGTAGGACCTGTTTGATCCTTATAAAAACTTAAATGTCACTTTTTGCCTTTATCTTTTGTTTTCTTGACAATTTTGACCCTTAACAAGGTTTTTGCCTTAAATTTTTATATCTTAAGCATATAACACTTTTAACTTGATAATATGTTGTATAAGGTGTCTTAGTTCATGGATCTTAACTCCATGTTACTTAAGATGTCGAGATTTGTTAAGATCTAATACATTTTTACAAAATAAACGAAGAAATCACACAAGACATGCATATAACACATAGATCTACACATTTTACTTGTATTCTCCCCCAAAAATCATGTAAAAACCAAAAACAATGGGGTATGAACTCACCTTTGCTTTGATGTTTCGGTTTTGAAGAAGATATGAAGAGATTTTTGGTCCTAGCAACACCTTGAAGTAGTTTTCGAGCTTATGAAGTTTCTAGGAGTATGATCACCAAAAACTTGCTTAGAAGAAGTGATCTAACATGAGAATGAAGTTATATAACTTGGATATGTAAAGACTTACCAATAAATGATGATTTTTGGTGGTGAAAACCTTCTTGAAGATGCTCAAAATCTCGAAAATTAGAGGGGAAAGGAAGGAGTGTTCTTGTGAGTGTTTGAGAGAGTTTGGTGTGTGTGTGCTTACCTTCGGCCGAGAGGAAGAAAAAGAGAGAGGGAAGAGAGATTAAGATGTGATAGATGCATAGATGTATGGGATTGGGTATTTGTTTAATGGGTAATTTGCATGGATTACCTTCATGTATTAGTGAGGTGGCATGGCTTGGATAATTAGCAATTTCTCTTTTCTTTTTTTTTTCTTTTTTACTTGGGCCGAAAATGGGCTAAAGAGAAGGGGGTAGATTAGCTTGGCCCATTTCTGGCCTTGGTTCGAAATTATGAGGCCCAATAATTAGTTTTCGGCCCATTGGGCCTTTAGGGTAGTTCACGGCCCAAAATGGCATAAAAGAATGGATTTATGGCTTACTAGGGTTAATTGGATTAGTTATGGCCCAATAAGGCCCATTAGGGTTAGAATGAATCATTCTAGGCCCAAATGGTCCAAGATGTTATAGATTTGTGGATTGGGTCCATTTAGAGTCCAAATAGGGCTTCCAAGCCCAAAATAGTTGAATTGAATGCTTATTGGTCCATTAGGCCCAATAAGGAAATCCTAGTCCAATATGGACTTAAACCGGGATTCTTAGGGTTTTCAGACTCTTTGTTGAACATGAGAGGTGAATTTAAATGAGCACTGAGTGATATTTACTTAGAGTATATGTTTTACAATGGTTGAATGATTACATAAGAATAGAATTTTCTAGCTAAAATGCTAGTTGTGACATCTTTATTGCACACAGAATACCTTATTTATTTACATCCTCAATGATTCATTCGAGGTGGGAAGGTTTTTCAAAACTACATTAGATTCCGAATTAGTTACTTAATCGTTTGTGGCTTTTCTTCGCATCAGTGGTATCAAAGTCATTAGTTATTGTTATTTGGGTTGACTTGTTTGATCAATGGTAGCTAATATAAGTAAAATGATTGATTTGAATGGTTCTAATTATCAACGTTTGAAAATAAGGGATAAAGGACCTACTTTGTGGTATATTCATTAAGGACTTTAGTTATCATCATGCACAAACTTTGTAGAAAGGGGTTTAGAACTTATATACTCGAAAGACTATGAAAAATAACTATTCTTGATTAAACAGATAATACATTGAAATACCATGATAAAACTCTTTTTCATTGATCATTTGAATGCATTTCATGGAACTATCAATTAGCTTGTAGAAAGGGGTAAGAACTTTAAAGAGAGATCCAACGTTTATGGCTCCTTTGTACTTTACTGCATTGTTGGGAACTTTCATGACATCATTGTCCAACTTTTCACTAGACGGTGTCATTCCCATGCAATTGTATAAATGTATTATTATAAACGAAGAGATGAAAGAAGTCACACGACTTCTCTTCATAATTAGATTTCATGGCCACAGGATAGAAGTCGAAACAGAGGACCGAGAAATAGAAGCATAGCATTCCAAAAGAAAGGTTGTTGATACTGCATTTTGGAGAAACTTTAGGGTTCATCACATAAAAAAAACAAAAAAAAACAACAACATATCTTTGTATTTTAACTCTTATAAAACTTTATTTTCATTTCTTTTTGGTATATAAATTGTATTTTAAAATTCTAACCAGTTGTAGCAATGTCTCCAAATATAAAACAATTTCCATATAGATATATATTTTTCAAAGTACGGTATCTAATATGAAAAAAAAAGTGAGGTGTAATGCTATAATTTGGTAACTTTCAAATGATGAGGTGTAATGCATGCACATTTATGTTTTCTATGTTTTTTTTTTGACGTTTTCAAGTTGTGATTCTCTTAAAACGTTGTTATAAGAGTCTCATTGTTGTGTTGGTTTTGAAAATTTTGGAAAAAAATAAACACTAAATGGGCATACATGCACATATATGAACATTCAAACGTGCATATATGCACATATCAAAAAAAAATCGTCAAATCTTTTTTTAGCATGCATACATCTTTGACACAGCTCCAGGAGTCCAATGATGGTCTTGGTTTTGAAAAATGATAAGCGGATTAAGAGTTCTCGTAAAATTTTAAATTCTCGCAATAACTTAACCCTTCAAATGAAAATGATTTAATAAGAAAAATACTTAAAAAAATATAATACCGTGACAAAAAAGGATATAAAATACTATTCATAATAAACAAATAAAGGAAATTGGAAAGTATGTTATTATTTTACAATTAAGTAATTAACGGAAGTATTCAATAATAAATATGTTAGATCTAAGATCAATAGTCAAAGTCCCTATGAAACTTTTACCCTTATTAGATATTGCAATTTTTCGAAATCAACTGAATTAGGACTTCAAAATCTGCCATCTGTATGCTTCATTTTTATGATAATACATTTGTAACTAACATGAACACTCTTAGTTTGCCGCCAAATGATGCTTTTTCATACTACAATTTGAACGAACGTAGGGGACAACTGATTTTCAAGTTGGGCCGTTTCTTGTTCGCTCCTTTTTAGTTTTTCCTATGAGAAATTGTACCAAAAAATAAAATTAAATTAAAAAGAGGATTAGACTTTAGAGGTTAGGGTTCATGTACTTTGCTCTTATAGTAATCACAATAACCAAAGTCCAAACTACAAAGAAGATTATGCCTAAACATTTCTTATGGATCTTCACCTTCTTACGATGCACTAGGCCACTTATACAAATATATAATATTTATAAATGGGATTGGGCCAATAAAATGAAATATTGGGCAACAAAAATTGATTCAACCATCTACACATTTTGAACATCATCAAGTTCTCATTTCAAACGAATTTCTCTCCCGATTTGTGAACCATTGAATTGTCCTTTTTGCCATCGGCAACCAAACGCTTTGTAACTTCTCGTCTTTCGCATTACTAGCCCAATATGAACTTCTTGTTTCTCTAAATCTTGAGACATTTGTAATCTCTGACATTGATCTCTTCTGCATACCCTCTGCCTCCTGATCCGTCTGAAACCTAGGAAACTGCAAATTTGAAATCGATGTTTCGCCACTATCGAGGATTTTACCAACCTTGGATTCATATAATCTTCTTCTTTCCATATCCTCCTTAAACTTCATCGCTTGTTCAACATCTATTTCAAATCTCCCACTACCCGAAGGTGAGAAATGCTTCTTTGAAACCTCATTAAGCATCTTCGAGTTCAAAAACATTAAGTCTGAGGAATTCACATCACTCCATCGACTCTTGCAAACAATGTCGGATACAATGATCCTATGTTTGAACTTATCAAACAAGCTTTGATCTCCATATTGAATTAAGACATCTTCTTTAGGACTCTTCGCAAATTTCCTAAAGCTATTTCCTATACTAAACCTCGATGACCTAGAAGAACCATCGTGTTCCCTCTTAACAAACACTTCAAGATTACTAAAACCCTCGTCTTGCGTATACCTTAAACTATTTGTGCATGTGAAATTTGTGATATCGGATAAAACAAATTTATACCTACAAAGAGGACAACTAGAGTGACTTTCTAGCCATTGATCGATGCAATTCATATGAAACGCATGCCTACACTTAGGCAACAACCTTAAAACCTCCGAATCTTCAAACTTCGATAAGCACACTACACACTCTAGCCCTTCTTTTGATCCTTTAAGTGATGAGAATCTAAAAAAGGGCAAAGATTCGATTGCTTTCTTGTCAATCCCAGAAAACCGTGACCTTGAGCTAGGAAGTTGATGAGGGATTTGTTGAAGTACATCCGATTGACAGAATTTCATGCAAGCGAGTACAAGAAATGTTAAACAAAACATCGTGCATAGCACCCCGATGACAATAACAACACTTGGATGCACAGCATGCATGCGCCCCGGATTTGAATCGGTTGAATTTTCTTGTGCGAAAACACTGGGAAAGAAGAAGATGGATATAAAGATAAGGGGTTTGATCAATCTTGTGTGATTCATTCAAGAAATTTGGAGTTCTTGGAGAAAATTGGAGTGTTGTTTTTGTGAAGTTTCTGTTCATTTTAATCAAATGTGGTCTCTTTCAAGAAAGTTTAATTTAATGGAATTTTAGTATGGAAAATTAATCGTATGGTCCATGTTGGAGGGGTTTATTCCATTGTTTTATCTATTGGCCGCCTTTGTCTTGTCGGTAAGTAGCGTTCGCATCATTAATGAATTAGAATTATCGTTTCGTACAAATGGCATACAGTTTGGTTTTAGTTGTTTATATTATTATTATATACATTTCTGGACACAAGATGTTCATAAATAAAAATAATAATGGTTCTTAGAGATAAAAAGGAGTAATTGTTTTAATATCTCGAATACCACGCTCGACATTCAATAATAAACTAACTTGTAACGAATATTCGGGAAACGAACACATGAGGTTGAGAAATAAAATTTATAATGGTTCCTATAAATTTAAAAATTAAAAAAAAAAAAATTAACAAAAAAAATAAAAGAAAGAAAAGAAAAGAAAAAAGTAATTCGTTTTGGGAAAGTTCCGTTACATCTATCGTAGATTATAAGGAAAATTAATATATACGAAAAGAACAAGAGACAATATAGAATTCAAAATTGTTCATATTAGTTTCTAACTGGTTTTTAGTAATAAAACTTTTCATAGTGAACAGAATTTTGTTTTTCGTTTTGTTTGTATTGTGTCCCAAAATATTTTATATAGGCCTTTTACATCTTATATAACCTTTGTACACCAATATAACATTTCTTTTTAAAAAAGAATAGGACTTTAAAATGTACTTCGAATTTCTTATAATTTACTTCGAAACTTTAAAACCGTTCTAAATATTTCAAAAACATGATAAAAAAAAATGAGAAGAGTTTACTTTTGTTGTACCTTATGTTCGAAATAAAAAGTCCCTATCATACGAAAAATAATTTAGAGAAAACTAGAGGGAATAGTTTCAAAATTGAGTATCTTACATTAAAAATCCTACAACTTTAAATAGGAGAGACCACAATAATAAACATGAAACTCTATGTAGTTCAAAACTAGGAAAGCTTCGAAGTAATGATGTAATGATCATTTTAACATTTTATTAAAGCGATGATCAAATTATTTTATATATAATTACGAGAAATGATCATTTGGTAAATATCCTTTTCGCCTATCATTAATTTATGACAAAAATACATATTATATAAAGTCATTTGACGTCTAATACCAAAATGGACCACAAGATAGACCCTAAAACATATAAGGCCAAGTAGAAGAAATATTGTGACCCCATGGATTAAAGATATCGTATATCTTTAAATCTTTAATTAAACAAACACGAGAAATGATTGGACATATATTCTACTAGATATTAATAACATTATCTAAACTTGTTCTTTCACAAAAGCAAAATATATTAATAAAATATTATAGACCAAAACTAAAAATTTTAGTAATCTAACTCAAAACTATTTCAACACAACATGACCAAAAACAATATAATACTCTTAAGTTCAAAATTCAAGCCCTTGATAATTAACAAAAAAACGTACAAAGAATTATACATTCAATTGCATTAAAAATGTCCTAATTAAGCAGCTTTAGATGAGTCATTCCCGGGTTTCAATTTTAAGTTGTTTCTGATAAAATCAGACAATTCAGCTGCAGCAGGGCGTCCCAATTTTAGACAGCTGAAGTAATCATCCACTGTATGCAAACATAAATTAGATTAAACCAAAAACATATCAAAATTATTATTCTTGCATTTGTTGACGTGGATTAAATTTGATGAGACCTATGAATGAAAGATAGATACCTGCCATTACGCCATGTGTCACGGATGTAAGAATCCCATGTTCCATTATTTCACCTCCTGATTTTAATGAACCTTCCGGAAGAACAGAAGCCATAGAATTTGGGAACACCAAATATACAAATGACTTCACTTTCTGTTAATAAAAAAAAAAAAAAACAATTTTCCATTATTATTGGTGCCTAAAGTTATCAAGTATTTCAATTAATAGACAATGGCAACTAACCTGTTCTTCAATCTTGCTTGGGTCAAGTAAAATTTGACCATTTTCAGACATACAACAACATATTGCAACTACAAAAAGTCAAAAACAAATAAAAGAATTAAACAAGTTGGAAAATGGAAGCTTCTGGAACTTGTTTATCTTACTAGCAAGATGCTTTAATGGAGTCCCAGCATCTACAAGAGCAGCACAAGCTGCATTTATTGCACATGGAAGAAGCTAAAGGAAACTAGGTCAAGAAATCCATAGGATGAACATACAATAAAACTATATGTAAATTGAGATCTATGATAGATAATAATCATAGAAAAAAGATTACTAACATAAGCAAAAGCAACAAGGAAAAAAGATTAAAGGATACAGCACCATCATCATTGACAACTTGAATGACAATTGAAGTTGTTGTATTGGGATGAACATTCAAGAGGCAGATGCTTTGTAATGTCTTCTTCATCACCATTTCATATTCCCTCTCTGGTTTCCCTATTTGGCAATAGTTTGTAATTTGTATTAACTTTTTTATTCATAAATTACAGATGCATTAACAAGAGAAAAAAACTCACCACTCTGTCCGGTTTTTGGCTTCCAAATGACTTCAATGCAGGCCTTTTCAGGGTTTTCGTTTTTCCTAGTTCCAGCTTTCGGTCCATAAACAGCAGCAATAACTTTTGTGTCACCTGATTCCAGATAAAAAAGCATCATTCAAAAGTAAGAAAAGAAGATTAGCGAAAGAATAATAAAACCCTAATATTGTTCCAGAATGAGAATCACATTTGTGTAGAACCCCAACATTCACAAGTTTATAAACACTAGCGAGATGCAATATGAATATTCTTGAAATTTCGAAAATGAAACCGAATTGCAGAACTGAAGGAGTAATGAGAGAGAGTGGAAGAAGTACCTTGAGCCCAGCTAGCGGAGCCATGAGCACGGTGGAGTATGCCTCGAGTACAGGCCACCGGTCTTCGTTGATTAGGGGTCCGCCCATCTGCTCTATCAACTTCCATAATCGCCGATGAATTGCCAAAGGAAATACAATTTTGCAGAGGGAGTGGTCGTTAACTTTAGGGGTTAGGGTTTATGCCTACCAGGTGCTTTTCGAACAGCGACCAAACCGTGTAGGTGCGATCAATATAATATTCCGATTATATTTTGTGTATTACCTTCGGTTTACACTTTACATTAAATCGCAACTTTATTTAAAATTTAGGGATGTTAATAAAAACTAGAAAAGATTCACCGGCGTTGCCTAGGTCGGAAGGTATTGCTTTGTAAAATAAAGTAGCATGTTGGTTGCTTTTTGTCCGTTAATGTGAGGGTAATTTGGTCTTTTCAGGTAGTAGGGACTGAATTTGTCACCATGGGTAAACCATATGGACCATTTATGTAATTTTGGCGGTGGTGGTGGTGGTGGTGGTGGCAGATGGTAGGTGGGTTTATGGTATTGGGTGGGACCAATCGTGTAATTTTGTCTAACAATAATAATAAGAATGATGAGGGACCATTTCTGCCAAAAAACTAAATACTAATAATATGTAATAAAATGCGACGGTTATGAAAAATTCAAACCAAAGTGAAAGGGTTGTTTGTGAACAAAAGCATAAAGATGAAGGGTCAATGCTGTAAGTTGGAGGACCAAAATTGACAAAAAATGTGTCACTTTACTGTTAAAATCTTTCATAACTTTAATATATACTAGAAAGGTTACCCCCGCTACGCGGGGGCCAGAAGCTTTCAATGTTGTTTCCGAATTGATAAATATGACAGACATAGAAAGTGCAAGGATGAAAAGTTCGGGCTTTGCCCCGGACAAAAAATGTAAAAGTTTTGACTGCAAGGACCAGAAGTGTGAAAATGGCTAAAGAATTAAAGAGGTAGGAATTAACAACTTTTTAGAAAATGGATCAAAGTTGTCAAACCATCAAAGTTTTGTGGCCAAACGTTAAATATTAAAAGGTTCCAAAAAAGTATAAAAATATTGATTGCAAAGACCAAAAGTGTCAAAATGGGTAAAGAATAATGAGCAAAGTTGCCAAAAAAACATCCAAATTTAGTATTCCTAACTTCCAACAATAATACAGGGACCAATTCTGCCAAAAAAATGGGAAGTTGAATGGAACACAAACAAAAGGACATGAATAAATTAATTAAAGAAGTACATGGACCGGATATGTAAATCAAGGGACCAGGACAAAGTATGACAACTTCACTATTCTGTAAACCTCTAAAAAAATAACTAAAATTTATTTGACCCTTTATTCCCCATTTACTCCGGATTTACTGGTTTCGTTACTTAAATTATCATCTATATTATTTATAAATTTTCAAAATATTATATGTAACTAAATTATTATTTTAATTGATTTTTAGTAACATCATATATACAAATGTTTTTGGCGAATTCTTTCCATCAAAATTTTGAACAAAAATATTTCTCACAAGTTTACCTTTCCCATTTAAGAACAAAAACATGACATGTGAAACTTTTCATATAGATGACAAGATTCACTCTTTGTGTACCTCAAATCTACGAACAAATTATCATCATCCTTGAGTGTCTTAAAATTAAGAACAAAAAACTTCACGTACAAACTTACAAAATTTTGTAGTTTTCAAAAACATAATAGTTTAACTAACAAAAAGATTATATCTTTCATATAAAGCATAGCTTTCAAAAACACAATAGTTTAAGTAACAAAAAAAAAACATTTAAAATGACGAATTATCGCAAGCATTCATTCCTTCTTTTTGAGGTGTATGTTTCACTTGAATCCAAGCCTTGAGATGCGAGATTCTTTCATGTCTTTTCACGGTATGCATACTCACCAAGATACATATGTTATTTTTTAAACTTATATGAT